CCTTAACATGCTTTTAGATGTTCACGCCCGTTATGAAGAGTCTTCATTTATAGACTGCTTGCTGAATAAATGGCTTATGAGGAGATGTGGAGAACAAGTATTCCACGGATTATCCCCAAAACTATGTGCTCACTACCAGCTGCACACATCCAGAGCGTTCTCCCACTCCCTAAAGTTTCTCCATTGGTGGACAGCAGACGGAACTGATTTCAGAATAACACTATGGTGTGCAAGAAAATCGTCATAAAAACAGCCAGAAAAGGTCAGTGGAATGGAGGAAGTGCTACTCTTGTTCTTGAAGTACATGGCATTCAGTTTGCTGCAAAATTTAGCCACGAGAGGATGGAGCCAGAAAAGGGGAGATCCTGTCTTATCCATTGTACTTCTCAAAGCCTTAAGTAGTCATAACAACCTCCTAATTGAAGCACGATAAATTAGGGTCCAATTTAAGTCAGTAATTACGAAACTGATTGAAATGAGGAGTTTAATTGTGTCGGTTAAAACAAAGGCTTCTAGGAAAGGTATTGATTCCCTCTATGCTCTTCGCATAGGTCTCGATAAAGCAACCTTCCTCACTCTCTCCACTTTAGGGACGGGGCCGCATGGACTAGTGAGTGATAAATGTCCACCTTCACAATCACCAATAGCACAATCCAAACTCATTCCCTTCCCCATCCCCTCTTTACCAGGGGAAAGTCATAAATTAGCACCACACCTTTGGCATAAATCCTCCCTCAAATACAATGGCCAATTCCACTGGCAGCTGTTGAAGAGTTACTTCCTCACAATCCACTCCAATCCCGTCCTACCAGCTTTTCCCGTTTGACAGGCTACCAAATTGCACTTTACACCTACTTTGCAGAAGTGGGAGTCAATCCTCCGTGTGGTACCGTCGGAGTATCAAGAGACTGGAGAAAGAACAGCACATTGGTGAGTGTAATTGTTTGTCCCCAACTCAATTGCTTAGAAGGGGTTCGATTGCATTGCTTAAGATACTGGTGGAGATCGCTGTTTTCCTTGTAGTATTCTTTCTAACCAGGACACTTACCTGAATAGCCCTACTACCATAATAACGCCTGTTGAGAATATCCTTTCACAATGAGTAATCAAAATGGAGCATCCGCTTCCCGCCAACGCATGAGGATGCGGGCGCGATTTAAAAATTCTACAGGTGGACCCCAAAAAAAATCCTCATCACCTGTTTTTACACTGAGACGGAAGCCTATTCCCCCCCTTTACCTCCCCCGTCCCCCTCATCCGACATTGAGGGATAATCTAGTCTGACTTATCCCATTATGATTAAAAAAACTGATTTACGAAAAGCGTGTGGACCAGGGTGTTCCTACCACAGGTTCACGTATTCACACTCATTACAAGCAGACGCAATCGTACTGATATTGGAAGCCTTGATTTCAAAACTGCTGCCATGGGATGGGGAGCCAAGCACACTCTAGAGCGAATGGATACTGATGAGTCAATTTGCGCGGCTCATCGGAGGCACATCTCATGTCGGGTGACTCTTACAGACCCTTGTGTTTACTTTGTGTGTCTCGATTTGTATGTGTGCGTGTGGATGTATCAGCTACTCCTTCCACGCCAACACTGAAAGCGGAAGGTTCTACCACCCGTAATTTATTGAAAGCACACGCATGTCTGTGTTTATACGTACCAAACGGCCATTTTCTTATCTTCAGCCCCTCGGGGTTTCACAGATGTATTTCCTCAAGCACAAAAATCTTTGTAATTCCTTTACTCTGTTGACAGAAGCAATGGCCCTATGTTACTTGCAACTTGAAGTGCCCAGTTTGGTGCTGAAGGGTATTGTTGCCCAAACAAATGTGAAAGCAACTTCATTATCGACATGCCGTAAGCCTAAGGCTAGTGATGTAGACAGCAAAGCCAAATTGCGGAAGTTTGGTAAGGCCTACGCAATTAGCTATGCAACTAAGTTGTCATTATTGGCGGGTTTTTGACTAAAAGTAGCCATCAAATATGAGAACGAGTATCTTCACAAAGAATGTGTTTAATGCTGTCCTTTGTTCAAACGAAAGTGGACTATTTGTTGATAAATATTTTTGGAAGGGACATCAACCAAGGTAATTAGAAGAGGTGTTAAAATCTGCCTTTTTAAAGACGATTGTTTGGAAGTTGTCAATGCTAATCTACTCACGCACACAGACCATTTATAATGAGCCGGGCACAAACAGCGCTGCAGCGATCAGTAAGAGGTTGTGTATGTTAGTACCATAATTTATTTAGCAGTCTCAAAAAAGGCTCCAGTGGAACGAAATGCAGAGAGCAATAAGCACCTAAACCCTGTCCTGTGTCCACTTGAACCGCAGCTCGCGGTTCTACATAAAAGATCTCTTCAATGCCCGCATGCTTATTTCCCAAGAATCTTGATGGTAATCGCAAGCTCCGGTCCCTTAACCATCACCAGCGCGCAGATTGTAGAGTATTCTAGCCTGGGCAGATCGTGACGAAAAGAACGGACATTGAAGCATTTAAGGTATTCTCTCCCAGCAGCCCCAAAACTAAACTGCCTTTAATGCATAATAGCTGGGGTCTAGCTAGGGCTCATGATATGCGTTGAGATGTCCCTGAACAAACGACCTAGTTTCAAAAGCCTCAACGCATAAAAAAGTGAAAGTAGGTCCTAATCCGTATAATCCCACCTCTAAAACTAACAACAGTGTACTGAATGGTGAGTTACGGAGTGACATTTTAAACAAGATTTTGTGCAATAAATGGTATTGAATGAGCTGCAATTTTCCCTTTCAGTTTACTTTAAAGCGAAAGTGGTGAATAAAAAAATTCTGCATTAACTTGGAATTAAATCATTATTTTAAATTTAGGCAATATGTGGTAGACATTGCGACCGAATTGTCGATGCATTGTGACAGTGCTCACGGCTCTCTGAGGATTGACAACGAACCTCAGTCACCAGGTTTCACCCTAAGCAATCGCCCTTCATGGAAGGTTAGGAGAAATTCAAATTAGAATTTCGTATAGTATATCGTACCTCAAAACCGAACTCAGAGTGGCTCTTGTGGGTGAGACAACCAAATTTCGGACTGTGTTTTCCTCTCGGAGTAGGATAACATTTAAAAGTAAGAACAAAACTATTGAACAAAGTGTAGAAATCTTGAAACAGGAGCTAAATGCCTGGCAGTTCCAACGTGTGCTATCGCTTTGCACCTATGAGGTATCGCCTCTAAGGCGTTGGCGAGGATCACACGGCGTGGTGCGTGACCACAAGACATGACACAAAAACAGGGGCTGCTTCAGTGTTTGTTGAAAATAGACGGCTGCAAGCTTTGTGGTGCAAAATTTAAACAAAGTGCAATTCATTGCGACGACCGTCACCACCACTGAGCCGCGCCAGACCCATGCATGTGTGAGCGTATAACGCGTGTGCAGGTTGGATAAAACACGCGGAGGAATGTAAACGCAGCGAGCGAGAGAGCCAGAGAGACCAAAATGGCCAATTTGCAAACAACAATCGATCCTTCCAACGACTTGATAAACTCGTCCGCGGACACAGGTGCACACACGCACGTGTGCGTCTGGACCAACTCCCTATGAAAGTAGCGACGTCGCCGCCGCCCGGAGAAAGTACACTACCTCGAGATGATATGCAATCGTGAAATATGTGTGTCATTGTGCGCGTTGTGACAGCGGTGATATATATGCCTGTATATATGAGGCTATTCAGCATCTAATCTAATCAGATCATCAACCGGATTGAGACCTTGGAGGATGGGAACAGTGGCATTTGTGTACTTTGGTCGTGTGGACTGCTTTTAAGTCAAACCAGCAAAGAAGCCTTTTTGTGATTGCATTGACATTACTTGATGAGTGAAAACTGTTGAAGATAGCATCCACCACACATTTGTATCCGAAAGCAAAAACGAATTTAGGAGTTGAAATACAAGCAGACAATTTCCATATCTTTGGGCAAGTAAAACTGCATAATGGCAAGACGGATTAGCGTGTGGAAAATAGAACCTATTGCTTAAAGATGATAGTTGACTCTCATGCCAATAAGGCTGCAATCCAGTGCTATCATTCCATTACACCAGAGATCCAACTTTTTAGAAGTTTTGTTCAGGATTATTTTCGCGCTTCTGGTTTGCTAACCAAGGGCTACGTTACTACAAATACTAGACTGCGCTAAATGAACCCGATGGGGTGGTCTCAATGCTGGAATTGTGCATTATTTCATCAAGAAAATTTTAGACGTCTTGGTTACTTCTTCCTCTCTTTTCCCCCCATTACTAGGTAGGTTTACATGCATGTCGAAGTATAGGACTTTGTTTGATGGTGGTTGTCAAGGCTCATCCGTATTCAATTCGATAACGCGTCTTCGCTGTCGCCTTCACTTCTGGCAACTCTTGCCAATTTCAAAACAATTGGGGCTATTATATGGAAACCTTGTAATAATAAAAATACAGTCATGAGAATTCACTAGTGTTGTTTGTGGATTTAGTCCAGAAAGCCGAATCCAGCCTACCCTAAAAAGCGAAGCTCAATCACGAGTGATTGATGCTGTGTACTGAGTAATACGCGACCACATTACAGGCGATAAGCTATTACCATTGCCACCTTTGTTTATTTGGATATGGTATCATTAAAGTCGCATCCTCTGAATGTTTTCCACATTTACCAACTAGATCACAAATCGCCAAACAGTTTACCTTGTGATGGGCGGTTACTGACGGGTCAGAGAATGGCCAATATTTGTGTCAAATACCGCCGAATTGGCAAGCCAACATTACTCTTCGAATAGGAGTAGCCCCAACGCAATTAGACATTACTGATATTTGCTTCGGAAAGTAAAAAATGAGCATAAATGCTAGGCCTTATCTCAAAAAAAAACAACTTATATTTTCAAGATAAAGAACTCGAACTCACTTGCATTGAAGGGATAGACACTGGACTGACACTGCTGTATCTGTTTAAAGGCATGTGGCTGATTGAAAGCAGTGTTAAGTGGCCAATAGTACCCCCCTACGGTAGTCGGATGGAAACTGCTGGGAAGGGGGGGGGTGGAGGCGGCTGGAGTTGTGAGGGAGGAGGCGGAAGCTTTGGTGGTGGAGGCGGAGGTACAGCACCTACGGACGACTGACAAGTCGGTGATGATATCACGGTAAGACCGGATGGAGCGTATCGCATCGACTCCTCCTCCTCCTCCTCCTCCTCCTCCTCCGCCTCCGCTTTCCCAGCTACCCGCGCCGTCTGGGCTCCCAAGCTCTCACCGTGCAGCACCATGCCCACGTCGAACTGCCAGCAACTTTGAATTGACAGCTAAAACCCACACGCATGCACAGATAGCCATCTCACCATAACACATGCTTCGTGTTAGGGAAGAAGTCTATTAATTGCAAACAACCAAGGGGCCGAATAAACAATGCCATTTTTCACTATCTCAATCACAAGGCCCATAAAGTAGTGATGGGTATTTTTTACCGTTAGTTCTCATTCTTGTGATTCCACGTCCACATCGAAGCCTGGATGTGGGACAAACAAGTCGCAGAGGCAGTGGTTGAGAGAACCGATTAAGTAACCCACACACGCACACAAATGTATACTGTGACGTCCATGGATGCACGCGTGTGCACTAACTTGCCAGTACATATCGCCGTGGTGTTTATCACCGACGTACAAACACATGGACGCCTAGGTACAGCAGCCGCGTGCCAGTCAGTCTGTCATCGGTTGGTACTAGTGGCGTGGGGTCAGGCTGTGTCACTTGGACCCGTCTATTCCAATCGTGCGTGTGCCTCTACGCTAGCACGTGTGTGCACGTACGAGTGTATTTATTGTTTTGAAGAGGCGTTTCCTAACTTCAAAGCACTTCAACTACCAACTAGGAAGAAAGGTGCGCTGACAAATTTGTTTTAAAATAAATGTGCAAAGTGCGACGGCATTAAGGATGAAGAGTTCACTCATAAATATCTTTCTACAGATGCTGCTCACCAGTCATTTCCGTGATACCTTAAAGACCTGATATTTTCAAAATTGCTATCGCCTTTACTCACCAGCAACAAAAAATAAAAATATCAAGGAGAGTGCCGGCGTCGTAGTTGTTCATGTCCTACTAGGGACCGCAACAAAAAGCCCTGCATTTAAAGTTCAGTTATTAAAAATAAACACCATCAACTGTGAAATTCAAAAACCATCAAAAAATACAAAAGAAATCTGAACTAGTAGAAGCAACACAAAGCAAGGGTTGTTATGGAGATTCGCAAAAGCGAGTATGATAGGCTCATTTTACTTTCACGTCTGTCTAAAGTAATGTGGAGGAGCCTGGCTCACATCGAAATGATTATTGACATAACCAGTCAAGAGTGAAGTGTCAGTGGTTTACAGAAAGTGGACAAACTCACGTGGAAAAAATACTTACAGAATTTAATCAAAATGTTCTATAATCATGACCTACCTGTCACGGTTACATGGGAAACAGTTAATAACTCATAGGGAGGATGATACGATACTTGTCAAAAGCAAGTGGATCAGTGATATATTGAGTTTAAAATAGCAATTCTAATTGTTCATTTCGGAGGAGCGACTTTTAAAAATCCTCCTAATCCTCTTCATACTCCAATTTGTTAAGGCCAAATCCCACTCTTTTACTTGCTAGTGTACAAATGATTGCCATTGTTAAAAACAACTTACATTCGTGAAGCCTGAAAACATGTGCTTACAGCAGTTACTATTAGGAAAACATACCACACAAAGTATTAGTCGTGCAGCAAAAAAAAGAATCAAAAGAATTAAAATACTTGAGTATTGATAGCTTAATGCAGAGTATGCGTATGCACGTAAACAAGGTATGAACTTACAGACATGTTAAAACGAAAGGTGGGTTACTTGTCTGGGCGTAGCCGCAAGAAGTGCTGGTGTGTTAGGTGTTATCTGCCAGGGTCGGGCGCCAGCACAGCGGTTTTAACCCCCGTAGGTAAGCTAAATGCACGTCGGCCAATCAAATCACTATGCGCACGCCTTTTAAACCCATTGGGCGGTGGCAACATTGCCCCAACGAATCAGTGCAGGCGCAGGTATAACCCATCAGGTGACATTCTGGATTGCGAAATTAGGAAATGCAGAAGTTGCATCTCCGTGGTGCTAACGTGTATTATAAATAGAACCTGTAGTTGGATAGACTAGCCGCTTATAATGTTTACACGCTAGATAGGAATGACTGTAATTCATGAGGTTTTCGATGACAGAATTTCGAAAAGGAGAGTCATCAGTCAAATAAATTGGTAAGGCTGAAAACGTGCCACCCATGTGTTTTTAACTTACAAGGGGCATCAAGATCAAACAGGAACCTTTGAGTTTATGGGAAACAGGAAGGAAACAAGCGCCAACGGTGTACAACTGCATCTTTTTTGACAGCGCTTAACTAGTATTTCCAAAGCTTCGGCATAGAATAGGTGTGCGAAATGCCTGTATTATTTTGACAGCCTGCTTTATTTTTTCATTTGGTAGTGAAATGTTGAGCTCAGCATGATTAACACCTTTTGATTCTGGAGCAAGAATATTCCTTCAAGTTTTGTCATGAGCAGTGATGCGGCTCTGAAAATCCTGCCGCTTTTATCAAGGCTCCCCTTAAAGTCTGTGCTAATCAAAAGTAAAAAGCTGCCTGCTTACTCAACGCGGGTTGAATTCCCAAATTTTTAAGTGCTCACGAGCGGTTACAGTGTGGTCATCGTTATCCATCTCGCCCTGACTGAATCTTTGCAGGAGTGATTGCTGTTTCATGGGACCAGGATCGTCAATAGCAGAAGTACAACTAGGCGGGCGTCTTTGGAGAATCTGTGCTATTCAAATGTTGTCCTACCGAATGGCCGTGCATCCTACCACCATAGCGTGGTGTTTAAAGTCCCTCGTACACATTCTGAGGTTCGACTTGTTCGCCTCCGTTCAAAATAAACTTTAGCATCACCTGCTCTTGTTGCCTGGCGGCTTGATTAACGGTGTCTAGACTAGCCCATGACATGCGTGCCATTCATCAGCTATCGAGGACACTTGCCACTCACTACTGTGGCAGTTCCACACAGTATTATCGGATTTTGTGTCCAAGAGTAAAAGTCCTGAGTATGAATATATACCCCTATTATTTAAGAGAAGATTGTTAAAAGACTATTGTTAGAGGCATGAATATCAAATGCAACCCAACCGGACCTTTTTTTCAACCTGCTTATTGTGCATTCAGACTGTGAATAAATGTCTCTGAAGTTGTCATTTTTCTAATACGAACTATTATAAAGTGGGCATGATAACTACGGCCCATTGGCTAAGTGCTTTAAACGTATCGTAAGCCAGTGAAGCTAGAACAAAAGGGAGGTAACACCTGTTAAAACAGATGCCAATTCATAATTATAGGTTCCAATAATAACAAACCGGAAGCCCACTTCGACTTTCCAGTTCGGGTCGGGGAGGCAGGAGGGGAGTGAGTGGGGGGCGAGATTTAGAGATGAGGGTGGTGCCACCGCGCTCTCAACACGGCATACACGTGAGTTGATTCAGTACCACTCGAGGTCGAGTCGAAAGTGCTAATCTCTCACTTTTTTACTCCCAGGAAGTGGAGTAGCTATGCTCGAGGGATAAATCTGAATACTTTAGCCTACTAGAGGTGCATTTAAGATACACACCTAATTTCGTCTCACTGTCCCCTTTCACAACCGATTTTTCGAGCATCTTCGTTGTCAGAATGGGTGCTAGAGGTTAGAGCACTTAATATGTCCATTATTTCTTCAAGCACAAAGAAGGGAATAACAAAGAGACGTGCTAAAATTCGCGTTATGAAGAAGTGCAACACTGGTGGCTGTGGCTGCAGTGATGGCTTTTCTAACGGTGACTTGCTAACACCTCAAACTACAAACTTTACTAACAAAAAATAAGTAAACAGTAGGGCCAGACTGTAGATAGGCTCGGATTTCACGCTACGCATAAGTGTTAGGACGGAAATTCGAGGGAGAGAATGGATTTAATAAGCATTACAGTTTACTGCAGGGCTTAGAGACTTTCATGAATACGAGAGAAGACATAATACTCAAGACAGAATATCTGCATGGCTTGGGGCCACTGGCACAGCCCACCCGGCGAAGGTACAAAGACGGAACACCTAAGTGGTTCCTTTACCAAAACCGAGAGTTAACTAAGAATCAAAGTAATCACAATGGAATCAGTGTAATAAGAAAAATACTCATGAGCCAACTGCCACAGTAATCGAATTTCCATGCCACTGAGATGATACCTGACCGCAGCATCACCGATCCCTCTTGGCAATTCCACTGGACCTGGAGCTGCATCCTGTATGGGAACTGCTTTAGGGGAAGGAGTAATGTACTAGCCATCGAGCATGTTCATCACTAGTCATAAGAACACTGGCCTAAAGCCAGTCAAATAACAAAGGACGGGTTTTAACATGGTTCCGTGAAGGTGGGTTTGGCGTTCGTTTCACCACTTTATTTCCACTGCAGTGGTGCCAAGCCATATCCATCTATCTCTCTGGCTTCTATTCATCTAGTAGGCAGTTGGGAAAAGTATTGACCATTCACTAAACTGGCAGCTCCGTAAGGAACTTTTACGGATAGTTCGCAGCTGGTGTCACTCCAATTGTTTGTAGCTTTCCAGCAAAACAAGGGACTGAGTAATGGCCAAAAGTAGGCGTCATTTTCAGTCTCTCTGTTATGGGTCATCCCAGATTCTCCCATCTGCAGCATATGATCTTCTTCCGTCAAGTCAAGATTTATTACTCAGCTGGCGAAATCGACATAAATGTCCTTGAAGATTATGTTTGCTTTCCGAGGCAATCAATGTACCGCACCGAGACTTCTTTGAAGACGAAAGAAGACACAACACTTAAGCAGGATGTGTAGTGTCCACGTAGAGTAGGAGTTGGGGCTACTAGCATGTCCTGAAGGCTAGCCCACTCGGCAAATGTACAATGGCGGAGCAATTAAGAGACCCCTTTACCAAAACTGTAAGCTAAACAAACGTATTACAATGTCATCGCTGGAGGTACAGTGAGGAGGATCAAGGGAAGGTGGTTCCCAAGGTATGGCTCATTTTTAAGCTGAAAATAAAAATGAAGAACGGTTTCGCTAGAACGTTTTAATCTTTAGACAAACACCTTTTCGACAAGTGACTGGGACAAAAGTCTACATCTTGTAGAGCATTGTCCGGACTCAGTTCAGTTAAACGTGGCAAATAACATCCTGTAGTTCATTTCGTAAGTAGAGCCACTGTTAAAATCGGAATTCAATTCACGGCGACGGAAATCATCGTATCATTTTTCTTCCTGCCTCGTGATTGATTTCGGAATATTCAAATAATGGCCGGAAGGTAGAATAAAGGAACTGACTGTGGGGGTTCGACACATGTCTACGTGGGTTCCGCAGTACACGCAAGTGGTACTTCCACCTTGGTGGCATGACTGGAAGGCCAAGCTAATGGTTTCCCCCGACCTTCTTCACCCATGCTAGTATGCCTTACTGCGATTTCTGAAGAGACTTGAAGCCTTTACTGGCATAGTCTGGGGACGCAATGTACCTGCAATGGCTTATAATAAGGCTCCTGAGACATAGTTACCACCTTGTCGAGATGGCGTTGCGCTCTTAGTCCTCTAATCCTTCTCTGTGATGATAAGTAACCTAATTCCAGACTATTACCCGTTGTAAAGCCCACAGGATGTATTCAAGCAGGCAGACATACATTACAGAAAGGGGAATCACTAAAGCTTAGAATCAGCTCAGTTCATACGGTAATATTAAATACTCATGGAGGAGTTTCAGATTCCTATAATTTTATTTTTTAAAGTTTACGGTCAACTTTTGAATAATGCGGTGATGGTTCACTGTCGCAAACAAATTACTCCAAAGCAGCAGAAGGTAATGAGTTAATTTGATAACTCCCAAATCAGAGCAGAACAAGGTTAGCATCATAAAGTCGGAAAAGTTTGACAACTCCAACCTAAAAGTCGAGTTCTGACCGACAACTTTAGTTGTAAACCAGATTTACGAAGTAATTCACACTTATCGTAAAAGCAGAACCTCTCAAGGTGCCACGACTAATGAGGAGTGGGATTTTAGGCGTTTTTGCTTACGCACATCATCCACTGACAGCTCACCTTGGAGCTTGCCTGCCTACCCATTGCACCGTCGTCGAAGGAGGCATCTTGCAGTCTCAGCGAGAGGACTTTCACGCACCAAGTGCCGCAAGCCAACCAACCGTATCTCAACATCGAGCCTGTCATTGCAATGCTTAACGTTACTCGGTACAATTTCTCACCAATTAAGTGTTCAGGGAAACCCGTAGAGACTTGCTGAGGCAGCACTTTTCATTACAAATTGTTGTTGCAGTCAAAATATGGTGAGAGCAGGTTGACTACTGCCATCGGGGTTGTGAGCGCCTCCCCTTACAACGCCGCGATGGTGGAGCGAATTCTGACTCGTCCGCTCCCAAATGCTGCTCGCGTTGTGGCACTTCTTTTCATATCTCTACCCTACCAGAATGTCGTATGCCGCTAAAACCCGTTGAAAAAAAGCCTATTCACAGTACTGAGGCAAGCTTTCGACATCTCAAATGTCATCCACCCCGAGAATTAGTCACATGTTGGAGTGAGAGTACACAATAACTAAGGCAAAATGGCATCACCGACAAGGAAGGCGTCAATCACTTATTCTGTCGCAGGGGCATCCCACTCCGGTTTAGTAAATGTCGCACTGACAGGAAAACAACTCTCACTAAACATCAAATCCGTGTAAGTTTAGTAGGACCACCAGCGACGACCTTGGCAAGATGACTACCAAGCAGTTGCGGTAGTCGTTGGTTGCATTCATTCGCAAAGCGAAAAACACGATACCCGGAAAAACACCAGATTCCGGAGAACGCCATCACACACAAGTGCGCAGTTAAGATGATGCAGCCACTGAAGGTTCATGAGTTAAAAAAAGTAAACAACTTTGTCATCACTGCGCAGACTATCACAGGTGCTCCGTTTGTAAGGAATCCCGCCCTCAGGCGTAAACTCGGACTTAAAACGACGATGAAAAGTAGGGCTTGAACCCTTTCAGCAAAATGAGCTTTGAGCGCGGATTACAATCAGAGCCGTTCCATTTGACATTTTTCTTCATATCAAAATTCAACGAGTCAACATCTTGTTAGCAGTTTCGATGACTACAACAAAAATGGTGGATTTTACAGCTACAAGAGGAACTCGTTCGTAGAGACATGTGATGACGAGAGGGCTGTCGCCAGATCCTGAGGGGAACGAAATCAACAATGAAATGTAGTGAGGTTCATGAGAACCCACCCATACTACATGTTATTAGTGTCTTCTGCGCGCCGATAGCGAAGCCACCAGTATACCTTGTAACGTCTTAGGGGATAACCTGTGCGTTGCATCACACTAGGACTCTCAGTCACCTCCAATGGCTCCCATTTCCAATTTTGAGTACAACCTCGGCCAAAAGTAGAAGCCGCAGAGGTAGCTAGCCCGTTGACCCAGATGCATAGAACATCTCAACTCCTTCCTTCCTCTCCACCCGCACAAAAGAGCTGCAACGGAGACAGGGAGGAATGAGTGAACACGACAAAACAAGCAAGCACACAGGTGCATCTGTAGCGTGCGGAGAGACAGGTTTTCTTCAAGGCGCCAAAAAGAAACATTTTACACAATCAGCTGGATCTCTGCTGTACGCGCGCACATGCACACGCCCGCACACACACAAAATCAAGAGAAGGGGAAAGAGAGGGGGATGGAAGCAAATACAGACGAGATGACCTACGTGCGTGCGTGAGTGCATATGTGTGCAAGAGCAGGGAAGAGGGTCCAGCACAATACCACGTATCATGTACACCAAAAGAGCGCGATAGACGTGAATTGTCGACAGAGAGCGCAATTATGGTTGTGTGTGTGTATGCATGTGTACAACATTAGTGGAAATAGCAAGTGAGTAAGGGAAGGAATCAGGAGGCTACAAGTAACAGTGCAGCTATGACTGCTGCCGCGTCTCGGGGGATCGACGCCCGCTGGAGTGCCGAGACCGCGTCGGAGCGTTCTCCTCGCTCGTGGACAGAGGCGCCTCGGAGATCTGGGGCGTTGCCGCCATCGCCGTCTCCTTCACCGTTATCGCTGATGCCGTCACAGTGGACTCTAAGAGAGAACTCTTTCTGCTGCCAACGCTGCCGATGCCACCGCTACCATCCCCTAGAGAGGAGTCAGTACCAGACATCTGGCTGGAGAGGTAGGCAGGAATCAGCTTGGCGATTGTCTCGGGATTAGCCTGTCTCTCTACAACACCAAACACAACCCTGATAGAAATAAAAATCATTGCACTGTTTCATGCTGGATATGAAAATTTTAAAAAAAAGAGGAATTAAGTATCACTTATTACACTCCCTCATAAAAAGCTGAAGAGGTAATATCATCAACTAATTTTTCCTTCTATGGCCATGATGAAGAGTCAACGCACGTTTGGGCCGCGTTCGAGTGAGCGGCGGGAAATTACAACGATTGACGTGAGTGAAAATTTTAATGTGTTAATTTGGATGTCGAAAATGACAACCACGTCCCCGGAAGATGCCAGCTGAGACCAAAGTCGCAGGCACTGGTGAACTACAGTGGTTGAGATATGGCCTTTTAGCACCTGCCTCGGGGTTCGTCTAGTCCTCCAACGATATCAAGGGCAAACACTCCTTAGCTATTCAATCTGCTTTGAACGGCTAAAACAAAGAATGGTTTAAAAGTCCCTTCTGTTCCATTCTGTTATGCTAGGCTCAAGGTCACGCAATTAAATCAGGCATTTTGTTTCTTCTCCCATTCCAGTGAAGCTGGAGCACACGCTTAGAATTATCACAATCGAAAAACATAAATAAATATACCTAAAAGTTCCTCAATCCTTGGGTACGCTTGAAGAAAAGGTGCTTGGCTGATGCAAAAATTATGCAGCAAAGCGTACGGGTGACCCGAGAGGAGGCCACACTAGTAGATAACGGTAGGCTGTATTCGATCACCTATTTGAACCGTTCAAATGCGCCTGAGCGGACCTTTTAGGCTCACGTGATACAGCTCTGCTCATCGCATTAGGCTCTTGGTTCTATGGAACAATGAAATGGAGTGCTTTCATGGAGTGCGTCTGCGGCAGTAAATCAAGTGATACTACTGTGGAAATGGTCAGTTCTTTGGGACGAAATTATGAGGCAAGAGGCTTGGATAAAGCGTCGGATTACACCACATGAGCCAAATGCGTGGGCATCCACAAAAGTCAGGCCGTTGCTACCCTGGGCTTATGGAACATGGAAATAATGCAAACGGACGAGAAAAGCGGGATTCGGAAGCTAAGCCTTAAACAGATTAACAGAGACAGTGGGCTTGGAAAGTTACCATCCAGATTGATCGCGGCTTTCATCCCTTGCGAATCGTACTGTGGTTTAGGCGTTTTTTCAAAATGAATTTATTAATGGAGATCTGATATGTAGTGGCTTAACGGTGTCGCCGTTACTTTTGCCCTAGAAATTAAGGTCAGCGCACGATCATGAGGGAAGAAGTGGTTAGTGCATACAAATATTTAATAAGGCGATGCCAGCGTCCTCTTTTACGCAGTCCCTATTTTTGCATGTGTTAAGAAATTACCACAAATCAAAGCATAAAATGGTTTTAAGACATAGGTAATCACACCTTATTTTGGTTTTTGAGAAATACTGGATTGGCTAGTTCGGTGGAGCAGGTATTGCTACCATACTGGAATAATGAAATACATGGGCTGTGGTGGTCAAGTGTCCGCTGGGACAGACCCTGGATATATGGCATGCGCTAAACAGTCCTTCTATTGGCATAAATTAGCGACACTAAACTTAAAGATTTGGACTGATTGAAAAGCGACAAGAATGCTTCGCCTTGACACAGTTAGGCGAAGGCACTTGAGGAGGGTAGAGCTCCATTTGATCGGAAAGTACACACGCACCTGCGCCAATCAAAAGGCAGACAGATTAGGCCTGTCACACTCGCTGCCACGGGAAAAAAACACTTTTGGTGAATGTTAGTGGATTTTTAACAGACTGATCACTGGTAATAATACCCCCACTGCCTACCTGAGATCGAAATCCCAAACATTTGAGATGTTTTCTGCGTCAGTTTGCGATGATGATGGCTACATCGTATTAATTGGGTTTAAAATGCAATCAAATAAATACAGAATATTCTTAATCTGAGGAGGATAATTGCGTTTTTTTGTTATTTACCAGCAGTTGAATCAGTTATTTCGGTAGTGGTGGTCGAGGTTCGTCTGAGACGCTGGTAGCCAGTGTTAAGCAATTAAGTGGAACAACCAATGTCGCAAAGGTAGTCGATCTACCAACTGCCAGCATAATATAAACCGGGTCACATAACCAAATTCACGGTCAGGAAGACGGCCTTAGTCTGGAATAAGTACAACGTGTGATTCAGATATGTACATATACACACATTTTCACCTGAACCGTAGAGTACGGCGTGAAAAACATTACCAACACTTCCTTGGGGAGGTGTGTAGTGTTACAGTAGCGCCCCTCCGATTCCCCAACGCATTAGCCAGGACTACGACACAAACGTATCGTCTCCAGATGTCGTTCGTTCTTTAGAAAACAAGACAAACTTTCGACCTCTACTTGGAATGTTTCCTTACAGTCAGACATTAGCTGAAATGTCGAGCTCCTCCAGAAACCCAGGAGAGAATCACACCTTTTTACTCCCCCAAGGTCTCACCATAAGGGAATTTGTGTCCACTATCAAGGAGAGGTCTTATGCGTTTCAGTAGAGCTGTTCCTTCATTCTGCACAATTCCCATAACTTGATTATGGCACTATCGATACGAGCCTACATTTAGGGCATTGTTGGAACAATTACCAACAGTGACCCCATCAAGGATACTATTGCTGGTATGATGAGGGACGATAATGATGGGCGTAAGTAGTCATTCAAGATGTCGTGTCAAGAAAGAAGGTCAGTCTAGCTAAACAGTTTTGCTGTGTATGCGAGATACGAGGGCCAAAGTCCAAAAATCACTTTACCCTTATAATAAATACTCTGACTCACCCTTTTGGAGTAAGAAGGGCAAGGGTAGGGGTACACGATTACCTTACGAGGCATTTTAGGCGTCGGTGAATGTTTGCTCGGATGAAAGGCCACTCTCGAGAAATTATTAATGAACTGGATCTGAATGAGCAACTTGCGGTCAAAAGTGTTGCATACCCGCGAAATGGGAGCGATTAAAAAAGGGAAATATATGCTGTGTATTTCGGCACGAATTGTTTCAATGGAGAACTGTTACTTGACTCAACAGAAATAAGGCATCTATTTCCACTAAATTTGATTGAAAATATACAGAGACAGCTTTTTTACAAAAATAAGATGATACACGGCCTCAGTGGGACAGAGCTCGCAGTTGAGGTAATAACGAGTAATGACAGTACAAGAAAGGGGACGGGACTGGTCCAGGATTCGCTTTAGATGCATTTGCTAAAGCACTGCCGCCATGGCAGCCATCATCACCAGCAAGAAAGTGGGGTGAATGGAAGACGAGGAAAGCATGAATGTAAGTTGAGTGATAAATAGTAATGGCGAAAAAAACCTCTTCTTAAGCCAGATAAGTCAATAGAAAGAGACGGATTTTAAAAATTAAACAGATTCTTGAATCTGATATTCGCTTCAAGATTAAAAAATTGATCATGAGGGCTTGTGAGTGAGGATAACAATAAAATGCGTTTGCATTGAAATCCAATGACCAACAACGATGAAAAACTTGAATTAGCGCTTTTTGACACAAAAAACGAGGAATCACATCGCATTTTCCAAAACCGCCAGTGGTATCTAATGGAAGGAATTATCAAAGTGATTTGCTCTGATCATTTTACACCCGAGAAATGAAACGCATAACAATAATTGGAAGGAAAAATTTGTGTAAATAGCCAGCAAGAGACCAGGACCTACTAGCAATAATCGTAACTTGATTAAGCTTTGATCAGTAGCCGACATTTTGCATAGAAAAAGAAGGCATTTACGGCGAGGCCGATTTGGCGTTGCCAAGGCAACAGTCAGAACTGTTACCGCAATCAAAAAGCAGGCATCAGTGCCATTTCTTCACCAAAGTAGAACGAGGTAGAAATGCGGAGATAAATAAGCTACTTATGAATTATTTGATGTTCCAACAGAGAGAAAGTGTGATTAGAAAGCACATTACACATATATTTTTAAAGAAGTAAAATGCACATGAAATCCAGGCGTGGAATATACGGGATGATTTACAACACCATCCAATGCAGGTTAATAACCTAAAGAATTGGGGATTCCGAAATTAAGTGTAAAGGGGAACAGTTTTTGCGTTTTGGATTATTAAAAAGAGAGCTCAAAGTACTCCAGTGTTGTGATTAGGAGGTGCCTCAAAAAGACCCACCGTGGCTATCCCTAAACCCTCGACCAACAAGCACGGGATTCGCATGAATCACAAAGCCTCCCTGAAAAAACTGCCGAATGGGGGAGAAAGGTAGGCTCATTAGCATACTTAGGGGCGGAACTTTAAGTAACTGACAACGACGAAACCTGTAAAAAGCAGAACAATCCTCTTACTAAAAGTAGAGGCGAAAGCGATGTGCGTAAGAAGTGGAGAGTAAGACTAGTATGCGAGTTGAAATGACAAGTACGTCTATGGTGCCACTGGTAGACCCAGCAATAAAGGGCCTGGGACAAGAACATCTATGAAGAAGCAAATGATTACATTTCTAAAATTATGCACCAGTTGGGTAATTGAGTGGTCTAGAAAAAAAACAATTAGAAAAGTGATGA